ACAATATTATGCTGATCACTTTTGTAAGAGGTGGGTGACAACAGCTTATTACCGGAGTGTCAGGCAGGGTTCAGAAAAGATAGAGGGTGTCTCGATAATATATTCGTATTAAACTCTGTAATACAAATTCATTTGAGACTTCGTGGGCGTAAAATTTATGCTGCATTCGTCGATTTCAAGAGGGCGTTTGACTCTGTTAGCCATTCCCTTCTGTGGAAAAAATTATATAATCTAGGACTCAGCGCAAAATACATTCGTATTATCGAAAGCTTGTATGAACAGGCTACTATGTCTGTTAGGGTCAACAATGAGTATTCCAAAACTTATGATATTTCTCAAGGTGTTCTACAGGGTGAATCATTGAGCCCAATTTTATTTTCCTTGTTTATTGCCGATATCGTGGACTATTTTCATGGCAAAGGCCTGAAAGGATTGAACATTGACGGTGAAAATGAGGTATTTATGTTGATGTATGCTGACGATATAGTTATTTTGAGTGACTCACAAATTGATCTGACCAAAAAACTTGAAGCTCTAGAATCATACACGTTGGAAAATAAACTGGACGTGAACACTACTAAAACAAAAATTATGATATTTAGCAGAGGTGGGTACCACACCAACTATCAGAGTAGATTTTATTTCAATAATGAACAAATCGAAGTGGTCAAACAGTTCACTTATTTGGGCACTGTATTCTCCTCTTCGTCAATGTTCTTAGATATGTCAAGGGAAATTATGGCAAAAAGTACTCGAGCAATAGGTGCAGTTATGGACTTGATGTGTCACACAAAAATCAATTCCTGGGATTCCAGAATTAAATTATTCAATTCCATAGTTTTATCATCCTTATCATACGGCATTGGTGTTTGGGGTTTGCGGTATGCTGAATTGATTGAACGAGTTCAAGTTGGTTTTTTCAAGCGCCTACTGTCATTATCAAGGAATACTCCGGATCATATTGTCCGTCTGGAGACTGGTTCGTATAAAATCAGTACAATCATTCTGAAAGCAGCTTTGTCATGGATTACTAGTTTGAAGGATATGGAAAATACTCGCTTACCTAAAATTTGCTTCATGAGACTAGCAGTCTTAGATAGCGTTGGTATAAAGTACAACTGGCTCCTTCAAGTCAAGGAGTATTTTATATTCGCCGAGCAGGAACACAGATGGCACTCTTTTTTAATTAGACCTTCGAAAAAATTAACAAGTCACATAATTGATTCCTACAAAGAAATTTTACTCAGAAAAGACATTGCAAGTTTGAATCAGTCGAGTTTTTCATGCCTTTATCAATCTTTAACACTGTATAGCACTTGTCAAAAATACTTAAGAATTCCTTGCCCAATTCACATCAGCAGAATCGTTGCCCAGATTCGTACTTGTAGCAAAACACGATTGAAATTTACTTTTTATGGCTCCTCGTATATAATCAATACTGAAGATTTATGTTCTATATGTAATCTGCAACAAAGAGAAACTCTGGAACATATCTTACTGGTTTGTCCTATATATTCTGGCTTGAGAAATAATGATTTATTTGTTAAATTACGAGTCATTGACGACTTGATAGATATTCTCAACACTCATTCATATGAATTATTGAAACAATTAGCTACGATTGTGATGAATATCCTGAAATTACGGTCTTTTGTCATCAATGAATGAACCGCATGCCTCTAATGTTTCTCCACATTATGTCTTACTGCAGAACGTTTCAATTGGAATTATCTTTTGATTGCCTTCTAAATATTATCTGCCATACTTTTTGTTGTTTCTTTATTTTTTGTTTTCTCTATATGATATTAACCATTTCTCTGTTTTGTCTTTTTTTCAGTGTATGTATAATCTGAACACTGTTATATTAATAATTTATCTATTTGTTCGAACCAATTTTCTTGTAATGAGGTTTCCTCTTCAGATACAATAAATGTTATTGATTGATTGATTGATTGATTGAAGAGGTGGGTGAAAGAATACCTTCCAACCCTGACTCAACGTACGAAATGGTTTCAAACACCTGATAAAGACCTTCAAGTTGGTGACTTAGTTATCATCGTTGATCCAGATCTACCGCGAAATTCTTGGCTGAGAGGAGTTATTTCGTCAGTCTTCCTAAGTCGAGATGGGCACGTTAGGAGCGCAGATATCAAGACGAAGATGGGTACCTACAGAAGACCTGTAGTCAAATTGTGTAGGCTCAATATTGATATAGAAGACGTCGATAAAGGAGAGTGATGTAGCTCATTACTAGGGAGGAGAATGTTACATTTTTATTGTTTTGTATACCCTGTATTTTGTTGGTGTTCAGGGTGATGGAAATGATTAGTTTGTCAGATTCATTTTGTCGGATTGATATTGTCAATAACTTTATAAAAGTTGCAATAAAAGACAGTTTTGGGCAGAAGCTGGTTTACTTTGCCTGCAGTATTATGAAGTAATCAACACCACCCCTATATAAAAATGTTCTGAGAAAACATGTCGGTTCGTGAGGGTGGTTTTGAACCTTGTACAATTTCGGTTGGATTTCTTTCTGTACCGAAAGGAATCCTCTGAAATTCACTTTTGTCAAATTTCATTCAATTTCTTTCACTCATTTATGAACAGCGTACAAGAATGTGTTTTTTATGTGAACTTCAACTGTTCTTATGGAATGGAATGAAAATCGATTGGGTTCAATCAACTTATCTCAGGGGTTCACAACTTGTGAGTGTATACGGAAATGGTCTACTCGAGGAACCCTAGCCGGATATTCATCATACTTTGACTTGTCTTGTGATATCCTCTTATCTCTTCCTCCTTCATTCTATCCAATCGGCTCTCCTTTACCAACTTCTCTTTTCCTCTTTGCCTCCAAGCCCAACCACACCATTCAAAGGTGTGGGGAGGACATGCCGCGGCCGCTCGACAAATGAAGCATTTTGGGACCTTCTTTGCTGTCGTACGCCAGATGAGAAAATAATTTGTGGACATATGTTGTGTCAAAGTAGGGGCGATTTGCTGATATCTGTCTACATGGCCGAGGACTGGCCAACGAGGCTTTGGCAACCTAATCGCCAAGCTGTGGGAACCCGTGGCGATGGATGAATGGCACCGAGGTATAGTGTCGCTACCGGTGCCTCTTGAAAACAGGGCGATATCTCAGAGTAAACAGCCTTAGCCCTTTGCAGGGGGCACCACAGGGCTACACCAACCCCTTTTCCCGTTACTCGTAAGAGAAGGAAAACTTTTGGCCTTCTTCGTAGATGAGAACAGGGATCGGAAGAGTAATCTTCAAGAACCTGAACGAAAAGGGCCAGTCACATTGAAGTTGAGGACCATGAGTTGTATATAGTAAAATTCATAACATTATGTAGATAAGATACAATGGGCCAATATAGGCCTAAGTGTCGTCGCAGACATCGTTCAGAAGAGCCTACACGGAGTGGAGTGTTTAGTGGGTATATACCCTGGAGGCAGGGGACTCCCACACTATCAAAGGATACGTCCTATATGATGTCCATAAAGGATTTCAACCACCTTGACGAAAAAAAAAAAAAATACTACACGTGGTGAGTCTGCGTTCCAGCAATTTTTGGATACCCTGTATATGTAAAATGATACTGCACCGTGTGCACAAATTCCAATATATTCTGAATGAATTTGTTACTGAAATTCAGAATGTTTAATGGAAGAAATAGATGTGGAATCTTCATTCAGCTGTAACGAGAAATCATGCTTCCCATCAGTTCCATCTGCTGATGTTGAAGCCACAAGGAAGCAATAGTTATTTTCGTATCTAGTGCGCGAAATGCTACTTCGGTGAACGTGAACTGACGTTAAAAATCTTGTGAAAAATATTCTAGATGATCGCAGTGAATCGCGCACGAGTTGCAAACAATTTTTCTTCTATTGACGTCAAAAATATAGTTCTGCAGTAGCAATATGCTCAGCTTATAAAAAAAAATAGTGTTTGCTCAAAAACTCCTTCCTATCAATGCGCGAACCTAGTCATTTCTTGACCTTCGTCTTCTTTTTTTCAGTTCCCTATGTTACCATGATACCTTGCACTAAACAATGCGCGATATACATATTCCAACTATATGGTCCTCAATCGAGCAAACACCCACGAAATCATTTATTCATGACTGTTCAATAATAACTTTGTTCTATCTTTCATGTTCCTAGGGAAGATAGAGGAAGGCCTTTCAAGCCAATTCAACAAAATTTTTGATATCAAGCTGAGCATATTTTTACTTTAGAACCATATTTTTTGACGTAGAAAAAATATTGTTTGCAACTCGAGAGCGAAATACTTTGGTCATCCCGACTTGGCTGCGCTTCGTTGAAAACAAAAACAGTTCTCGACAACTAAAGTAGCATTTCGCGCACTATAGATACATAAATTTCAATGTTCTCCAAGTAATAGCAGAATTTCGACCTCAAATTTTATGTTCTTACTCAGCGTAGACTTAAATTTACCAGGATTCAGAAATTTGAGCGGATCTGGAGGAGTATTAGGAAGAACGGAAGAAAGAGTAGTGTTGTGTTTTGTAGGTTATATTATGTGGAATTGATATCTTGATGTTATGGAGAGTACATCTCCACGAGATAAAATGTTTTAATAGAAATATGGTGGTATTTTGTGAAGAATAATTTCATGACAATAAAAAGAAGTGTGTAAAGACCATCTTCGTCGCATATAGACAATCAGTTGAATTCAATTATTTTGTTTTGACAGACAACACCATTTCATCTCGATGTATCTTTAGATTTTCAAAAATATTCAGAACACCATCACGAGACATGTGCTGAAATATTATGATTCCAGATGTTAGCATCGATAAGAATATAGGTAACTGATTTCAGAAAATTATGTTTGTAATGTGATTTTCAATTGGGGTAACTTTTTTGTTGACAAATCAATTATTATTGAAATGATGGTCAATTGAACAGTACCTACCCAGTACACATAAACTTTGGAATTACCTGATAACCAATATTGTTCTTTGTTATTACAGTTGGATGGACATTACAAGCTGAAAACCATTCATCATATTCCCAAATTGTTGTTCTTGGATAATGTAGAAATCTCAAGAGCCGACCGGTCTGTGAGCGAAACTTCACTTGGTGACAAGGACACGAAACCCCAAATGATATTTTATTGTCACCGGATAATGGGTTTACGTCCTCCACCAAAAGACGTGAGTATGGTGCTAAATACCCAATAATAACGAGAATAGTCCATCATTTAGAGTTTAAGTGTCATCCCTTCAGATGGTAATTTAGGTTCCACCATATATTTCCTGTGTTTAGTATAATAAACGGCGATATAAAGAACATGAGAAGAGTCGGGTAGCGTTGTCAAAGAGATTACAAACGCCATACTAATACTAGTTGGAGACCACAGAAGGAAAGGGGGAATGTCACAAAAACTCAATTCCGGATAAAACGAGTTTTGATGTTTGAAACTTCTGAATTTCTTGAAGGTTCAATGAAACAGTGATTTCAAACTGCCTGGACTGATTCAAGAGAGTATAATAGGCATTTATTCAATTTATCAGGAAAAAAACAGTGAATCTCTAGTAGGATTTTCGAGTCGAAGTCGACTAAAGGCGAAACAATATTTTGTTGAATAATGTACCGTCAAAAGGGGCTAAGAGGATCATTTCGTGTGAAGTGGAACGATATCAAAGATAATAAAAATGTGTTGTTTTTACATACAATCTGACAAGAGCGCTTCAGCACACCAATTTGATTACACAACTGTAGCACATACCTCATCATTAACAATCTAACGAGGCTTCAGTTGTGTAGCAGAGTTATTATAAACGGAAACAAGAATATTATGTGCGGTAGGTTTTCTTAAAACACCTGAGAAACTTCCTTTGTATCTCCAATATCAGTGAATATATTCAGGAATCTATCAATATTGGTCTTATAAGTAGATAAAACATTTTTGAAGTACAGCTGTATCAACGTTTTCCGTCTGATTTCGATTTTTTTATAAATTAAATGGAATACTGAAGTCCGGGAAAACTGGACCGCTCCACTTCATGCCCAAAGGTAAGTGGACTGGCCCATTTACCCTTCTGACTAAAGTGGACGTAATATCTACTTCAGTCGCAAAAGATAAACTCATATTTTTGTGTTACAGTTCAAACTTGAAATGTTCCGAAACTTTAGGAAGAAGTGAGGAAATGCTCCCAACTGCTACTGATGTGAAATAGGAACAGGATATTCCTGAGAAATATAATTGAAAAATATTCAATACCCAGATCAACCATAAAAAGAAAATGGAAGGAACAAATTCAAGAAGAAATGGTCGTCAACCACTCAAACACCTCTCAATGAAGATGAGAAACAATAAATAATACCCCATAGTTTGTGGAGAATGAGGGTTCTCGCAGCTAGATATTATTTCTGGATCGTATTGGAAGGCAATAGTCACGATTTCGAAACACTAGGATGGAGAAGGACTTCAATTTGTTTTTTTTAAAGGTGCCTTGAACTCTCAGTGCGCTTTTCTGAAAATATCAAACGTTGCAGGGCTGCTGTTGGACCTAACCTCATAAATTCTTATTTTGACCAACTTGTCAATAATTCATCAGAAGGTGTTTCAGCAGAAAGTATAGTCAACTACTCACGATGAAAGACGAAATAATTTCCTCGACGAACCGGGAAAGCAAACAGTGATTATAAGAAGAGGCTCTAAGCACCCCAAATATGTTATAGATTCTTCAAAAAGTAGAATTTCTCAAATGATGAGTGGATCAGCCTCTGGAGTTTTACTTCCAACCTATATTGTATATCGGGCAGAGAACGGATTGCAGGTGGCCAAGCACAACAGATCGAATAACTGGTGGTTTGAAGAAAGGACCTTTGAAGATTTTTTCCTGGGTATGGCTCTGCCCTATTTGATGATCTGAGCCTCGAGTGTTGATTGGGGATTATTTATAGAGCCTTTCGAAATATCATCTGAACTTGTACCGGAACTCAGATCTCTCCAAATGGGCTTATATCACAAAAATTTTTCATTAGATTATTCGATAGGACTCACCCAAACTAGCTTACGACCGCAAACCGTTTCTTGCTGTGAGCTCCCTACGTTTTATAAAAAATTATTGAAATCCCCGATTTTTCGGACCTCTGAAAACGAGGCGATGATGTAACGTCAAAACCCTAATATTGAAACAAGAGTATTCCTGACAGAGATGAATGATACATGATTTCTGACAGAGTGGATAAGCGCGAGATCACAGTTGTAAGAATTAATATATCAGTTGCCTCAGCCTCCGTCGGGCGTTTGGTATTTTCTTTCAACTATGGCGGGATGAGGTTTCTACGTCATAAGAGGGTCCGTTTCCAGAAGGTACTATTATTTATGTCCAAAAATAAAACATTCCAGTTAATTTTTCAATCGAATCATGTCGTCGATCATTATTTATGTATAGAAGGATCATTATAAACATGGTTTGAGTTAAAAGTTGTACTAAGGTTGTACACGCCCATTCTACAGAATTTGTCAACCTCTTGCTGTGGCATTTTTTAATCCATTGAAACAGAAATGAAGAGCTATACTTTAAGAGTGTAAACAAAAAAATTGGGGAGTTGTTCCAAAATCTGATTCGTCAGAACTCTCAAAGTAAACTTTGGAGGCCCTCGAATCTGCATCAGGAAATTCGGAAGCTGGTTTTGCTGTTTACAATATTTTGTCTGTTAAATCAGCAGAAAATCTTACAGCGACTGCCATAAGAAGACTCGGATGAACCTACCCCTGCTTATGTCATTAACCAAGAGTTTGTGAACAGAACAAGGATGCTCAAAAATCAGCAAAAAAAAACCAAGATGTTAAGAAATTGGAGTAGCACCCGAAAAAAGTGTTTCATTTGAACTGAATGACACATCCTTAGATGTGGGCGATTACAGTGAACACAATGAAGCATCAGATGATGGAATATTTGAGGAAGTAGTTTCTAATCACGAAATTATTTTTGGAAATGAAGAATTGCAAGGAGTTGTACTCAAAGCACAACAAAAAAGTTTAAATGAATTGGTGGAAAACGATTTTGTCATCGTGAAGTATGGAATCACTAAGCGAAAAATAAATCTACTTTACGTTGGACAGAAAATGAATAAAATATACAAGACAAATACCAGAACACATTTCGAAAATCAAATTAATTAAAAACATTGTTGAGGCAGATATGAATTCGATACGAGAAAAAAAAAAGATGTTTCTTTATTGTTATCCAGAACCATTTCTAATTCATGAGTTCACTAATCCATAGGTAATGATCAAAAGAGTTTGTTTCTTTTTACTTAGAATTTGTTTTTTCCACAACCTGTAACTGGGATTTTGAATCTTGATTTATGATCAATAGGAAACATGTTTTTGGACCACTTTCCCAATATAGTGTTCGATGATCCCCTTTCAGCGAGGAAAGGGGATCATCTTGAAAAATCCTGCACAAATTGTTTCGTTGACATATGAATTGATTCTCCAATTCGAGAAGGCATGATGAATCCATGACATTCTATTTCAAAATTGACCACCACATAATATCAATTTATTTTTGACCAATGGTCATACGAGATGCAAGGGAAATGTTTCGTAAATTATATTTTTGTTCTTCAAAAGTTTCATTCCCCCTGTCCTTAGTATGACCTTGGATCAATATTGGATTGTTTGTATATAGTGAAGTTGAAACTATAAGTTCTTTTATTTTCTGATTTATATCACCTCCACTATAAGTTATGGATGACCACCACAATGATTGTTTTCGAATATCTTGAGAATTCTGAATATGATTTGGGATGACACAAAAATAAACCACACACTATGACACATGGAGATGACTTTTGGATGAATTGAATCGAATATTCTAGGTACAAGAAAATTCATGTGGGGCTAACGAACAATTTTTTTCTTTCAGAAAAAAAATTTACAGACCATACACTTAGAAATAAAACTTCCCCTATTGGAACGAATCGTTTCCAGTTCGGAAAATACCGAGAACATTATTGACAACAGTCATAATCAAGCTGTGAAGAAACCATCAAAAAATCAGAAGAACGCGGATGGGAAGGGAAGTAGAAAAGAGAAAAATTCCAGCAAAACGTCACCATATGACAAACCCGATGAATTCGATCCCCAATTAGACAAATACAACGTTTCCTTCAAAACTGAAAAATTACCATGGAATAATGTCATGAAGTTTCTTCCTATCTGTATTGAGTCTCCAGAAGGAAATGATGTATTGATTAGAGATACTCTGAGGACATGTGTCAAAGTTAATGTGGTTTACATAAAGGTTAGAATATTCCACACTCATCTCACCTTGACGCATTGTAATGAGGTTTAAGGTTACTCAAATAAGCAACTAGATATCTACATATTATAAAGAAATAATAATAAGGTCTACAATGAAGTTAAAAAATTCACATATTACAAGTATATTTTCTTGATAGGTGCTTGAATGTCAACATTGTTTATATATTTATTATTGTTTTTTCCATATTCCGAATCGAATTTGGCTTCATTTTCATCCTCTCGATCAACTATAATATAGTTTTATTTTGAAGCCATCAATATTTCCTGAGTTGCCACCGCTTGATTTTTTCCATAAAGTCTAGAAAAACTATCGCTGGGTGTTGCATCTTGATAATATACCCTGTTTCAAGTTATAAAATGCTTTCACGCTCTCTGTTTGATATCGGTTGTTTAAAAAATTCATCAGGAAGACGAATTACAATTTTGTAATTACTATTCCCGGTTTGTATTCCAGTCGAATCATTCTTGTCTCATCCAATGATGCGATGAATATAGTCATACAGGATGGTCCAACAAAAATTTCACACCCTGATTTTGGGACATCAAAATGAAGATCCTGAAAAATGCTCGGACCAGTTGTTTCCTGATTCGAGAAGGAACGACTTGTTTGCTTTTTTCAGTTCTGAGCACTCAGTGAGGACATACCATGGCGTTACGTCATCTTCCAGGCACCATCTGCAATGGGGATCATCTTTGATCCCAAGATGCTCTAGGTGCCTATTGAGGTGGTTTTGCCAAGTTAGGAGCTCCACTACCACTCTAACGTCTTGCCTGTTGAGAATTAAAACCTCTTTTGTGAGCCTCTTCCATGGTTCTCTCATGTGGAGCTTCGATAGCCCCATTCCTAGTGTGTCCTGCCATCTTTTGAGGAATTGCTGTTGCAGCTGTCCCTCTGTGAAGGACATTGCCAGGCTATTTGGTATTCTCAAGATTGGTTCTGAACCGATCTCGGCCAGTCTGTCTGCCCTCTCGTTTCCGGGTATCCGCGGGTGTCCCGGGACATGAGGGCGACTTCTCATGATTTTTGCATGTTTTTCACGATGTTTCTGCACTCGGACCCTAGTATAGTATGAGTTCTATCGATATTTGATGCTCTTCAATATCATATAGGCTGATAATTCTTGCTTATTGAAAAATTGGAACGATCAAATGATTCTGGTTTATCTTCTATGCACTCATTACATCATAACCAACTCATTGTTATTTATTTCCTTAGGCTGCTCATCAATCCAAAGCCAAGGGGAAAAAGGGGAATAAGGCTGGCGAGGTCAAACATACCAACAAGAAAACTAAAACAATCGAGTCCGCACCAGAAAAGGATATCCCCAAAGAAACAATTTTGAAGAGAGTCACATTGTATAGTTTTTTCTGCAACTTGCAGAGTGTTAATTGGAATGACGAGAGTATTGATTACCTTTGGATGGATCACCCAAAATTTGGTGAAGATGGTTTGAAGATGAAGTGCCTCAAGGTTTGTATCAGCTACATATCGTCAGCTGATCTCTATTTCCTCTTCAATTTCATGGAGGATGATAGCTTAGTTGCCGAAACACGTAGTAAGATTCTTTGAAACATTCTTCTGATATTCTGGATATATTAGTACTAGCAGTACTTGCATAAATTTGCGTGCGCAAAGTGATACTTTTCCACACGTTGAGTGGATAGAATTTTCTCCGCACGGACTCAAACATCTCATTGGCCTCGAGAAATAATATTCATTATAGTTCATTCAATATAAGAAACCGTGTGTTTCCTTTTATTTTTCAACCGCTCTCTCCGATTTCTGTATTTCAGCATGAAACAATAATAATGATAAAGGACAATAAACAATAATATTGTCAAGCAACAATAAATGCACTTGTCAACTCTGACATATGCATGATGTCAGATTCTCCATCAGTTTTTGTCAGCAAGAATGTATAAACACCGACACACTCTTCCGTTCATCAAATCAAATGAAGGTTTAATGAGCAGTTCTGACGACAGCTAATAGATTCTGTCTTAGAGGCCGCGAACTCTGCTAGTTTAGACTAGAGTCACTGGATGGTATTAGTTTGATAAGAGTTCGGACACAGCTGAACTTTTGTCCTTTCCTATTTTCTATAATACAATGGTTTAAGTGAATAAAAGAATAAGACATATATCCTGCTCTTCGTCTTTTCAATTTCTCTAGTAGCGCCTGATTGTTAGATACGATATAGGGTACAAACACCCACTCCAATTCATAGTGATACACTTCTAGAAGAGCAACTATTATATAAATGAAAAAAATGCATGTAACAACATTTTAATAGGTATCAGAGAATATATACATATGGATAAACTTATAGCTATAATTCCTTATTGTATGTGAAACTGTACTCCAGTGAAGTATTTTAAGAAATTAGGTCTATATAAGCTTGTGTCCGGAAATGCTTCATTTCGGAGATACAGGGTGTTGAAATACAGAGAATAACAAATCATTGTTTGATAAAGATTTTATAGGAAAAAAGTGATTTATTTTGACGAGACCTACCAAATACTTGGTTTTGTAAAGTTCTCAGCAACTTCATTTAGCGCCCTAGGAGCTAAGTAACATGGATCAATATAGAAAATATCTCCAAAACGATACCTCCAGCGTAATTAAGGCCCTTATAATAATTCCCTTGATACATAAATATCTATCTACTTCTCACTGTTGAATCTTGAATTCGGTCGGCACCAAAAACGCCATTCAATAATATATTACGTTGTAGTTTACTTGCTTTTCTGAGTTTCGTTTTCAAATTTTCAATTTCATAATGTAATTTTGCGATCATTTTCCCTTTTTCCATGATTATTTTGTTTTGTATTTTGTGTGATGATAATAATGGAATTTTGTTCTTGAAATCGTCTGCTTTGTAAATTGATGAAACAGCAGATTCTCGCAATCAGATTTTGAAATCTTCTGTTTGAAAGTGGGCCTAAAATATAGATTCATTCTAATCAGATGATGTTTGAGAAGTGAATTTCAATGAGTAGGTACCTCACAAATTTCGCTCGTCTTCAAATTGATTTTCCACCCAGGCCTCCATATCTTCCTTCCATAAGCGAATACTGGATATTATATTTGATTCGGAAAATCGAATAAATGATATCCATTTGTTTCAGAATTGACACAATTTATTACACAGCAAGTGATTTCCATAGCTGCTTTCATCTCGAAAGTATTATAATTATGAAATTTTATTTCAATTCTGACGTTTATAAAATTAATTGTCAAATTCAAAGAATTTTTGAATGAAAAAGCGCGGGACGACTATGATGGTGCTCTTGTCACAATGCAAGGTGTGTAACTTTATAAATCTAAACATTCAAAAACCCTAACCGTTGTCATTTCTATGTCCGAACTCTTATCAAACTAATACCATCCAGTGACTCTAGTTTAGACTTACCGCCCGCTTAACCTCGACACATAAAATAAGAGCTATCTATTTATCTAGGAACCCATGGTTTTTATTTCCTTCCGCGTTTGAAAAACATACATGGGTGGAAATGAACCTTTGCTCTTGCTCCAAAGATATTTCAAAGTTTCGATTGAGTACGTTTGGAATATTAGGAAGTGCATGAGATTATTGGAATTTTGAAAGAAAATTGTTATTCGTTTTATAGTAGTAATGGAGACACTGACTTGGGTAGCACAGATCTCATACGTTCAGTTGTATTCAAAATAGAAAGCGTACAAATATTAGTGAGAGGAATTAACGTCAGCATATTTGCGTGGAACCAACTATCGTGAATTATTGTTTACCAGAAAATGTTGGCAGTGGTCATCAAAAATGTGAAGCATTGACTGAGCCAGCTTCACACAACTAGAACTAATATGACTTCAACTCCCTTTCATAATACTTGTATGCTTTTATATGGAATACAACGGTATATTAATTTGTACCAAGGAAGTAAGCTAAAGCAGTTTTATTTAACCTTCCACGGAAGGTAATAATATTTTTCTCCAGTGGGTGTAAATTGACAGGTTTGTGTCCTTGAATGAGGGACCAAACTCCTACATGCGATGCAGTGAGGAGGTAAACAATATTCACATTCTGAATAACAACACAGGGACGAATAATATTAAGGAAGAAGTGTTTCTAGTTTATTTTTCATATTCACAAAAAAACATTTCAGCCAATTCATACTTTATGGAGTAAGTACTCTACGTTAAAAAGTATTCTCAAATTCGAAATATACTTTAATTAGAGTCATTATTTCAAGCTAACATTTTATTTTATTTATTTATTGAACAAATAACTTCCAGACAGAATAGGCTCTGGTATAAGGAAGTACATAATTATATACCTATAGGTAAACATATCATTATACAAAATATATCAACAACTGTAAATTGACAAACAAAGAATAATATTTGTAAAAAAGAAAAAAAAATGGCATGTTCAATTTTATCCAGTTCGCTCAGAAATAATCAATTTTTTCACTTCATTTTTGAATGAACCTATATTTCTGCAATTTTTTATATTGTCAGGTAGTTTATTGAATTCAGTTAAGGCTGAATGAGTATGAATCTTTTTTGTCCGATAATGGAGCTAGCGGCGTCAAGATGAAACAAATTATATTGTCTTGTTTCATGATTATGAATTTCAGAATTCCGTATCAACATGAAATTCGACTTCAATTTTTTATTTATGATATTATATGATATTTTGAGAGTTTCAATTCTATATATTTCATCTAAAGAATACGTATTTGTTATTTCAAACAATTGATTGGTTGGTGTATCAAATAGGAGACGATACAATACTTTTAACGATTTTCTATATAATGTTGATATTTTATTGAAATTGTTCTTTGAACAAGTTCCCCAAACATTTATTGAATAGTTGATACGACTCAGTATATGAGAGTAGAGGATCATGTTTGCAATTTCAATATCAAGTTTGGGACATCTTGTCAATGCACCAATAATTGGAGATATTTTTTTTGTCAGAACATCAATATGTTTGTCCCACTTCAACCTGTCATCAAACCAAATTCCAAGATATTTTATCTGGTCAGTTTGTTGTAAGAGTTCATTCTTCATTTTAAGGTTGAGATAAATTTTTTGTTTATTTTTTTGGTGAAAAATCATATATTCTGTTTTTTTAATATTTATCGATAAAAGGTTAGAGTGGAGCCATTTTTCAAATATTTCCAAGTCTTCATTTATCATATTTTCTAAATTTGAAGGATTCTTGCCTCCATATAAAAGTTTACTGTATCATCTGCATACATGGTATATTTACTCGTGAGACCAATTTCACTGATATTTTGAACATAAAGTAAATATAGTATAGGTCCTAAAACAGATCCCTGTGGAAAAAGGAAAATGTGAGATACCGATCGAAAGGGGTCAACAATACATGGAAGAAATAAGCATGTGATCGAATTTATACTTACTATTCAACTTCTAAAATGAAAGTCATCATTATTTTTGGGTTGACCGGTGCATCTTCAATTTTCGTTGTCATCTGATGATATGGAGGTCGTAAGCAGAAAGTTTTTCCTAACACGTCCGCAAAGTGACGTTGAAACTTCGCTTGGCGTCATTCGCCTAACTGTAATTGCGTGCGGAGAAGTAACACTTTGAATACTTGTTAGAAAAATAACTATTTCAGTCTTTGAAACTCCACTTAGTATATCTCATATCTGAGTAACTCACTTGGCACGTTCTTCAAAATTCTATTTTCAGAATCTTGTGTACGGTGAGAAGTCGAAAAAAGGCAAGAAGAAAGTGAATAAAGATGCAGATTCTAGAAACACCCAAGGTACTGGTGCTACAATGTCAGTTCCCAAAATATTCACTTGCCATGTAGGATTCGGATTGAAGAGGAGTTGAAATGTAGTTGAATGTATCCAAATATATAATCTTGTCACGATCGAGAGTTCATTATGACATATGATTACAAATAGTATATTACATGACTATTGTGGAAAGTGACATATCTCGCGCGAGTGGACTCTTAGCACGAGCCGCAGAGCGGCGAGTGCGGAAACGAAACGAGCGCAGGAAATGCACTTTCCAACAAGTTTTGTACACTATTTTTCCAACGACCACAAATATTCATATTATATGTCATGAGTGTTTATAAGACCAGAGTAGGGATCATGTTTCTAATCATATTCGATCACATGAAGGTGGTATCATTATCATTTTTATTTAATTTGACTTGAATATTCAAATAACATCATTAGTTTGACGTCAACTCAACATTAACCTAATATGAACTTAACATCAACTCAACATAAACTTAACATCAACTCATTATCCACTTAACTTCAACTTGACATAAATTGAAATTAACTTAACATTAACTCAATAATTATTCAACATTAACTCAACATTAAATCAACATTAACTCAAAATTAACTTGACATTAACTTCAACTCAATATCAAATTGACATTAACTTCACATTAATCACTAAATTGCCAATACATTGACATAATTTCAACTTTCAATTGAAATTAACTTGATATCAACCTTTCATCAACTCAACATTACGTCAACATTAACGACAATAACTCATGTTAAATCGACACTTACTTTCCATTAACTTGACCATAACTCAACTCACCATAGTTCAGCATAATAATCATTCATTGATACATCATAATCTTTAGACCCAGTTACTGTGCGATTTTCGAATATTTCCACCCTTGTGAGTTTTGCTTTCGAACTTTCTAACTGTTATATTTTGTCATAGTGGAACGAGTCACTTTCTCAATAACAAATCAATGTGTTTTGTGCTGATTTCATAGGTGGTCGTAGGAAAAATTATTCTTCTACTTACATAACTAAAATGGCACTTAGCGTACGGATATCTACCACGCTAAATGATCGATTAATCACGGATTGACGATCTGTGATTAATTCAAAATATTGAACACATCACCATGGCAACACGATTTCTTAAACACATTCAATAATCTGGAACATGTCTGGTCTGTCAATTGTATCAACTGTCAACTGTTATTTTCAAATTTTGTATCAGAATTATTCAAACAATATTCGTTTGTATCAGGATTCTTCATTGAAAATATATGCGAAATGTACACGAAAGTGAAATGGAAGAGAATGTTCTGGTACTTGCATATTTCCAAGAAGTTTAAAAATGAAGCATCCATCTTTGGGAACAATTTATTTATTCTGCGCTAAGCATGACAATAAACGTGAAACAAAGGTTAGTAAGCAATGGACTGGACAGATCTACAACCAATATTACTTATACTTGTCTCGCTGGTTGCATGCACTTGCATGTATTATGTTCTCAATTCCCATTCTTTTCGGATTATTTTTTAGGTTAGCAGGAATAGCAGGTATATGTTAATGTAATTTTCGGAGTTCGTGGAAAATGCATAGTATGTAACGCGTTTATAAAGTCTTCTAGACACTCGTTTATTAAACACTCGCTCTGCTCTGCTCCGCTCGTGCCTAATATACTCGTTCCTAAAAGGGCGTTTATAACACTTGTTACATAATATACTATTTTCTCATTGCAAGAAGTGGCATCATCATTCATTATAGAATATGAAAGGAAAGAAGGATGTTCAGTAATTTCAATATTTTATTCGATTCACATTGTGTGTGTGAATCTCGCTAATCTACCCATAATGAGCTATCAAAATCACAGGTTCGAGTTGTGAATGATAAGTTTCGAACGAACTTTATGTGTTGTTAACAAATCAAGATGCCACTTTCTGGATGAATTCGAAGAACATATATTTTCGACATTCCAACGCAATTATATATAAAATATTTTCCATTAATAGCGCCACCTATTTTTGAGAATGCCAAGCCTACGATGAAGTCAAGTCAATTTCAATTGTTTAACATCCAGTTCCAGTATGAAAAATCAATTGGAGAATGAGCTCACCTGGCAATCTTTGATTCTATAAACTTATCTTCGATTATCAACAACCAGATGGCAAGATAGCGACAACATAGTTATAACGTTTCACCATTTCATAAACCATCACCAAAAAAATCGAGGCATCGTAGATAGACACAATTTCAACACTCAAACCCATTTTTGTACACTCAGGACGGCTTGTACAAAGATGACCGTTTACAAAAATACAACATCGACAAGTGATTCGTTCTGATGCTACGATGCTAATGACTAAACCTGCTTCAATTCGATCACACGATGATTGCGAATACCGATGAGTCAAAGCCGTTTGTGATAAGGCATTCCTTGGGCGTTCTTTCTAAATCACGGGGTGATTTGAACATCGTAACCAACATTAGAATTCTTGGGTTCGTTGATTTCTAATGATTCATAATGATTGAGTTTCATTCCTTCATTTTCTACTCGTAGAATTTCGAAATTGTCTTCAAATCTATGGCTTCCTTCTAATATATTGTTGGGGTATGTTGAATTTCTTTGCTTTTTCAAATAATTCATCTCATGTTCATGAATGCGCTGATTAAACGTACGAGCTGTCTCACCGATATACATATGTATACCTTCCCTAACTACACAGTAATGTCCTAGGTACGTCCATTTTTTGTCCCGCGGTACAAGGACATGATTGGGCCATCCAGTTGATGGACATCCCACCCGGTACGTCCCTAGGTTATCCTATTCGTGTCCCTGGAATATCTGATATCCATTCACATCAGAGTCATTGAATTTCATCAAAGTATTAAGATGCATTTTTTTGAAAATGTTTGTTTTTCTTCCGGAAAATAATCGTAATGAAAATAAAGAATGAAGTTTCAGAAATCCTCAAGAAATTACCATGTTTCGCAAACAGAAATCGTGCATGCATAATGCCCCTCATTTTTAAACACCCAAGAATAATATAATAATTATCATCCTAACAGAGTTGTATTAGTTCAGGTTTCTGTAGTTGTTAGTTTATAAATCTGTTCAGTTCATAAATCTTCAGGAGGCTCAATAGCCAATGGAGTAAGAACGGTAAGATGCGTGCCTGATAAGCCAAAGGTCCTGGGTTCAATCCGTACTCGACCTACATTTTTTCCTTTTGTCGAAGGGATGTCCCTGGGATATCTTTGGGACGTCCTAGGGATATCCTTTCTTCGTACTTTGTACATCTCAGGGACGTACCAGAAGGACATCCCTATAGGATTCCTCTTTTTGTGGCAAGCGGATGTCTCTGGGACGTCTCTAGTATGTACCATGTCCCGACACAGGATATCCCAGGGACGTCCTCGTGGAAAATGAAGGACGTCCCTGGGACGTACTCGTGTTGTTAGGCTTAGGGCAAACTCAACTGTGGATCTTCCAAACATGTAGGTACTGTACTTTGACCTTGTCAAATTCTATACCTGAATTTGGTCTCTTGAATGAATAAAATATTTGATTTGATTCAATATTTGAATACTTCGGTTCATCAATTATTTCCAACATTTCCTAGCAAAATTTTGCCAAATGTATTCCAATTGTAGACACTACCTCTGCTTTTAGCGAACATTTCACGAAGTTCTCTCTTGTCTCTCAGGAATGTTAATGATTTTTAATTTGGTTTAATTGAATTAGCCTTGTTCCAGAAATCCGTGAATGCGAACGGGACAAGAACGTGCTTGTTCATAATAGTAATTAGTTCTGAATTTCATGCATGTAGTGACGATGTAACAAAGGGAAGGTAGCTAAAAAAACGGAATGGTTTCTGCGCAAAATTATGGGTGGACTGAGGCCTAGAAGGCTAATGAAGTTTACCAGATATTGTGAGTTGCACTAACAAGATATTCAAAAATGGATAGTAGAATGATGTTTTCCTTCTCGTTGAGCTCTTTGTTTGTATCCTCACAGAAAATACAATCAAATCAGAAGAAAATCGGAAAAATGCGAAATCTTGCTTGGAGCCCTTGATTCTCGGTTACAATGAAACTGTCATAATGTGAAGATTGGTGATTCTGAAAAATGCCACAACCTGTACTTTCTAAACAGAAACATGTATTGGTATCATGATCTGTCAGATGACAGATATCAGATGACCATCCTTGGAGGTAAAACATTGAAACCCAACAACATCGAAACCCAATATCACTTTTCTTATTTGTTTTCAAAAGATAATAATATAGTAATAATGTTTATTCATTTGAATAAAATGACCATAGTAATTTACCTGGTACAATATATCAATGCAATCGCAAGATTTACGAAGTGGGTGACATCTAGGTTACATAATACGAACTTCAAATTGGGGGAAAACAAACTGTTGTCTATGGATAAAGTGCATAGACTACATTGCATTCAGCTTGCTGTAGCTGTAGTCGAACTTCTCAATGACATAAAGTGTTGGCGCTGTTGGTAGTGATGATGGTTGAGTTGGTTAATTTTTTCACATTATTGAATTTTCATTAGTTTAGTGAACAGTGAACGGGTGAAGAATTGGAGATAGTTCAAACAATTCAAACTAATTATGACGAGCAAATCAATTGACATATAAAAGAACAGCTACAACATGTTTACAATACCCAGATTGTCCTGCTTTGTATGAACAAATACGAATCCATTATTCTACAGGAGTTCCTCTGGACCCCAATTCCAATTTCACTTCATGTGGGGAAAGTTTCATCGTCGAAGTTTGTAGACAAGGTGCAAAAATGTGCCTTTTGTTGAAGTCTTCTCCTCACACAAAGTCACATGATTAGCACGGAGAACTGCCGATCAGTGGTGGAAGGAGACCACTGATCGGCTTTTTTCATCTGAATAGAGCAAAATATCTGCCAAAAGAAAATCTACAACAGGCATTATTAGCGTTTTCGATCAAATATTGACAATTAATGTCAAGTAATTTAAAAACTTATCACTCTTATCAGTACACAGTAAAACTTATCACTCTTATCAGTACACAGTACACAAACTGATGGCACTAATGAAATTTAGTGAGGATTGAGTTTG